TGGCTGTGGTATCCTTCCTTGTGAAGTGCCTATTAAATCTTTTGTTATCATTACTGTTAATTTGTAGGAATTATTTCTATCTTCTGCTAATTAAGTCCTTTATCCAGTACATGTACTACATATATCTTCCTCCTATCTGTACTTGCCTTTTTTCTATCTTAATGGTGGCATTTATTGAACAGAAATTTTCTGTTCAGAATGTGGAGAAGATGTCCTGAAGATCTGGGGCAGATCCATAACGGTCCATAAATGAGAGATTTCATTACAAACTCTTTACATTAACCAACTATAATGTAGAACAGGAGTTTGTTATTTTCAGGTTTTGAGATCTGTTGTTTTAACTATGTTTATGTTCTTACGGCCTTTTTAAAAAGTGATTGGATATACTATTTTAGATTTTTCTTAAGTTAAAAATCCAACTGTATAAAGTGTTTCTAATTATAGTATTCCTTAGTTTTTTATTTTCTAAGTGTCATTTGCCCTCGTAGAAAACATTGTTTCTACTCAAAATTGTTTTCTATATGCTTTCAAATAATTTGTTTTGACCTGTTTTGCACTGATTTATTTCTCTTGTGCCTTGCAAGTATTTTAAAGTATCAGTTATTCAAATTAAATAATTTTCTATAGTATAATATGAGCAAATGATTTATCCTCCTCCTCTGACCTCTATAATGTACATTGAACACTTCTTAAGTGGTTATGTCTGTGGCTTACTTAAACTTTTATCTTGATGGCATTTTTAACGGTTCAACGAAGTTTTTACACGTAGTGAATTTGGTTTTTTAATGGAATGATTAGAAAGTTCATCTCATAATATATTAATAGATTGGAAATATGCTGTAGCCATTTTTCAGAGGAGAGCAAAATTACACCCATTTATATTTTTCCTGTACCTTTATGTATTCTTTTGAGTTAGATAAAGAATAAGCTAATTTGTTGCCTTTAATTAGCTTCTTAAGCTCTCATTTCCTGTTCATTGTCTTTACCCTGTATGTGATGTCAGTATCAGCTCTATTTTTTAATGCATTTTTAAAAAGTAAAATGGTCTAAATTTACTTGAATTCCTGTTAGTGTTCCTTCTTTTGAGATTAAAACTGGCAGAGCCTAGACTTTTAAAGAATGTTATACATGATATCCTTTTTTATAAAGGAAAGAACTCAAGAGATCATTTTCTAAGATCACTTAGTGAATCAGAGAAATAGTTGTTATAGCCCTTGAGTCAACTCTGAGTCCTACTTGGTAGAGATTTTCTAATTGTAATCAGTAGGCTTGTTGAATACTGTTTTTCTCTTGATAATTCATGTCAGACTATATATTATTGAGTGTTCTGGCACTCCTGAGGAGAGGGTCAGAGGCATTTTCCTGAGTTTTCCTTTTGTGGTAAATTTCCTAGGACTTAATAAATAAAACTTAACCAAAAGAAGGGTTTCTAGGATTCTTACCCAAAATGCAGTGATTATAGTGCTCATAATGCTTTGAGTGCAAGGACCGTGTGCTGTTGATTATTGTCTCCCCTGAAGTGTCTAATGCATAATAAATGCTTAGTAATATTGTTGAATTGAGATGAGAATGTGAATCATTTGATAAAAATAAAGGAAAAAAGAAGTTGGCTATTTGATATACAGGAGACAACTAATCTTTAAAGGGTCAGATAAATTGGTTAGAACACTGACCAGTGTTCCTCTAATATGCAGAAATGTGTCCATTCAGTTAGTTGTATGGGTGGGTGCAGGGTTGTATCCATACACATTTCTGGCTTAGCTAAAGATCCAAGTCCTAATCATTATCAAAATTTCCAAAACAGTCTGTGTTCCCTTTATCATGAATGAAGCTATGTTAGCTCCTTTAATGCTCTTCCATCATCCCTTCTTTGATTCCTCTAACACGGGGGTCCCAAAGCCCTGGGCCGCAGACTGGTACCAGTCCTCGGCCTGTTAGGAACCGGGCCGCACAGCAGGAGGTGAGCGGCGGGCAAGCCAGCGAAGCTTCATCTGCCGCCTTCCATCATCCCCCATCCCTGGCGTTACCACCTGAACATCCCCCCCACCCCATCGTGGAAAAATTGTCTTCCACGAAACCAGTCCCTGGTGCCAAAAGGGTTGGGGACCACTGCTCTAATATGTCCCACTTCCTTGTCAAGGGAAACATCCCCATTTGTGGTCTTATTTCATCCTTTTCTGCCTACTCTAGGAACTAATTGCATTAGCCATCTCCCTCTTTCAGTATCTTCAATTTTACCTTCTTGAGTTAGTGGGATATTTTCTTCTATCATTTTCAGAGCTTTCCTACCCTTACAAAAAAGCCTTCCCTTGACTCTGTTTTTCCTCAAGTTACTCTCCTGACTTTGTCTTCCTCTTTGCCATTGAAATTACACAAACAAGTTTTTTTTTTAATAAATAAATTTATTTATTTTTTATTTATTTATTTTTGGCTGCATTGGGTCTTCGTTGCCACGTGGGCTTTCTCTAGTTGCTGAGAGCGGGGGCTCCTCTTTGTTGCAGTGGCTTCTCTTGTTGCGGAGCATGGGCTCTAGGCACGTGGGCTTCAGTAGTTGTGGCTCGTGGGCTTCAGTAGTTGTGGCTCGTGCGCTCTAGAGTGCAGGCTCAGCAGTTGTGGCACACGGGCTTAGTTGCTTTGCAGCATGTGGGATCTTCCCGGACCAGGGCTCGAACCCATGTCCCCTCCATTGGCAGGAAGATTCTTAACCACTGTGCCACCAGGGAAGTCCCCACAAACAAGTTTTTATTCACTTCTTCACCTGACACAATGTCCTCTCCTCCATCTTTGTTCTTTTTGACGTTTCTTCAGCCTTTGACCTTCTTGACTACTTTTATAGCCTCATATAGTATGAGGAGGTAGGCTTTGGAGTTGGCTGGCTTAGGTTTGGATTCCTGCTCTGTGTGACCTTGGACAAATTCATGAGTCTGGTTTCCTCATTTGTAAAATGTGCATATGTGTGAACATACTTGCCTGAGAGCTAAGGAAAATGTGCTCAATTCCTTCCTTTCTTTATTTGCTTGCTTTCTGACACATTGCACTATCCTGTATTGCCATGCCATTTATGAGGTGGGTAATATTTATTATCTTCATTTCACTAATGAGGAAACTAAGGTCAATCATGTAGGAGGCAGTGGAGCTGAGATTCCACATCAGAGCTGTCTCACTCTGGAGTCCAAAACCTTAGCCTCTGTGCTGAAGTGCCAGCATATTGAGTAGTTGGAGACTACAGTTTCTTCTTCTATTATATCTGTCTTATGAAAACATCTTTTAATATTTCATGAAATGTCTGAACCAATGGAGCTTTTTTAATGAAATTTTCTTCCCCTGTTTTTTTTCTAGTTTGTGTATATGGCACAGGCACAGACAACTGGGGACCTTAAGTGGCCTTTCTTATGAAATTAATTGGTAGCCAGGTGAGGAAGTATGGCGAGAGACAGAGTTTTGTGTCTAGATGGCACATAAAGTACCAAACTAAGAATTGAGGACATAGGCAGTTAATCATAACAATAGTACTGAGTGAGGTACATAATTGTGAGCTTGCACACCGCAGCCCTGTTGGAAAGGGAATTGTAGCTTCATTGTTTTTGCAGACTAGAAAAGATAGGAGGTAGCTGTGTCCCTCCCTTAAGTACACCTTTTGGCATTGTGAATGAAGTTCTTCTAGATCTTCGTTGTGATAACATGAGCATTGCTCTGACCAGAGAAAACTACTGGGTTTGGAAATAAAATGAACGCATTACCTACTTGGCTATGGAAAGGATGGGCCCCCAGCACAGTATGCGGACTGCTGCAGGGTGCCATCATCCTTGTGGCCTGCAACCAGAAAGGTGAGAACATGGAGTAGGAGTGCTGTCAGGGCATTGAATGGGATCATGTCCATATAGCACTGAGGGCAGAAGCATGAGTTCCTGCAAATATGAACTAGATTCATAAAAGACTTAATTGTTTCTCTCTCCTTCTCATCTTCTCTTCAGCATTGTGGCTGTAGGTAGGGTACAAATCTTCCCTCAACTTTTCTTGTACAGTAGTCATCTATTTAAGCTCTGGCAACTGCTTGGTAAGATACTGCCCTACCCTCTCAGTCTGTTCTCTGAATCTGTTGCCAGACTTGAGGATGATACAGAGAACCTGGAATCTTGATGTGGGGAGAGTTCTTTGAACTCAAAAAGTGAAATTCATACCTTTGAGACAGTCGCTTAACAACATGCCTGAAAACTATATATTGCAATTATAAAGGAAAGGGCAGGCCTCAGATTTATATGCATGTAATGGGACCTCCTGCAGCAGCTGTTGCATGCACAGCCATACACATGTATTGGAACATCAGTAATAACATCTTTAAATTCAGAAGGAAGTGGCATAGCATTATAGCCAAGGAGTCAGGCCTATATTTCTTATTTTATCAAATATTTAAGTACTAGAGAAGACCACATCACAATACCTTGAATTATTCTCTCTCTCTTTCCTTCCAAGGTAAGTGGATTTACTTTTAGGTGAAGACTATAGTTCAGTTAAGACACTTTTCTAGAGTCACAAAGTGGGAAGGAGGAGCTACTGTATTTCTACTCTTTCACTTTCTTTATATTATAAAGTGAAATGTCTGTCCTCTGATACATTAGTGCTTTGTGAGATGTGTATTAGTTTTATTTAGGCATAATCACTGCTTGCTTATTACGTAGTTGAGATGATAACTTATGTCAGGCAGGCTATAATTTATGTCAGGCAGGCTACAAAATGTAGATGTACTTTATTACTTCAGTTATGGATATAGGATTTATTCCACTTGTAGAATGATCCGTTTTGTTGTACCGGATTAGAAAATTTTGTTTGGTGCTTTGGCAGGATTAGGCTAAGGCATAATCTTATTTTTATGAGACTTTGTTGTATGAAAGTATTGTTAAGGAGCAAATTTTAATATGACTTATATCAAAACTCAGCTAGTTTATTATAAGCAGTAAAGGAACTATTGGGCTAAAACTAGTAAATTTTTTCTCTAATAGGTAATTAATAAAATGTCTCCAACATCCCTAAAGATCACACTAAGGCAACTCATGGAGGGGTCTTCCAAGACCTTGCAGGAAGTATTAACTATGGAATATCGGCTGAGTCAAGCTTGTATGGTAAGAATTTTTCTTTGAAGTATTGTCATTTTCTAGTTATGAAAGTCATATATGTTCATTGTAGAACATGTAATATATAGAAAATTTATAAACAAGAAGATTGAAACTATCTATAAATCGACTCTATGAAAATACAACAGGCCAGTTAGCTTAAGGCATGTGGGAATATTGCTCAGAGATTGTTTATAAGCCTTTATAAAACAGCAGTTACCTTTGCATGTAATTGTAAGAAGGACTCTAACCTCATGTGAATTTCAGAATAGAAATTTTAACCATTTTTCAGGCATAGTCTCCGACCTTGGGCAAGAAGCATAAATTCTCTAAATCTAAATGCACAAAGGGACGTTATTAGTCTTTTATATGTTTTAAATAATAGATTAGCATTGAAAATACCATTATAGATACACTTAAAATAGGCAATAATCACATAGAATATTATTGATTTCATGAAATATTTCAGAGTCATAGTAATTTATTCTTCCAGATAAAGTCTTTTTTTTTTTTTTGCGGTACGTGGGCCTCTCACTGTTGCGGTCTCTCCCGTTGCGGAGCACAGGCTCCGAACATGCAGGCCCAGCGGCCATGGCCCACGGGCCCAGCCACTCTGTGGCATGTGGGATCCTCCTGGACCAGGGCATGAACCTGTGTCCCCTGCATCGGCAGGTGGACTCTCAACCACTGTGCCACCAGGGAAGCCCCCCCAGATAAACTCTTTTAAAAAAAAAAATTGATTCATTGATTCATTGATTGATTTAGGTTGTGCCGGGTCTTTGTTGCGGCATGTGGGATCTTTTAGTTGCGGCCTGTGGACTTATTAGTTGCAGCATGTGGACACTCAGTTGCGGCATGCAAACTCTTCAGTTGCAGCATGCACGTGGGATCTAGTACCCTCACCAGGGATCAAACACAGGTCCCCTGCATTGGGAGCGCGGAGTCTTACCTGGTGGACCACCAGGGGAGTCCCTAGATAAACTCTTTTAAAGCAGAATTATCTTTTTTGTGTTATGTGTAGAGGACCCTTAGATTAATACGCTCATGGCCTAAAGGAAATATTATGTTTAATAACTAGAAAGCAGACATACCTAATGGTCTTTGATGTCCTGAAATAGTGAAGATATTCAAAATAGTTCATCCAGCCATAAATTAAGCTCTATTAGTCATATATTGAGGTCACTCCATAGGATGTAAATGGCAGCTGAGGTCTTTTGTTTATTATGAGTAGATACTATGCTAGGCACTTTACATGCATTCTCTCAGTTAAATATTACACTATCTGTAGAAGGCAGGTACTATTATTGTTTCCACTTTACAGATGAGGAAACAATGGTATAGAAGAGTAAAGTAACCTGCCTTAGGTGGTGCAGCTGTTAGGTGGCAGAGACATGGCGTGTGAAACCAGATGGTCATGCTCCTGACCCCTACCCAGTACACTTCACCCAGTCCCTGTTTTTCACTGTACATTTAGTGTACTGCCTGGATTGATTGAGTCCCTCCTTCCTTCATTCTCTCAGCAAATATGTTTAGCTATGTGCCAGGCACTGTGCTAAGTATTATGCTGTTGTATGTCCTTGTTCTCATGGGATTTATAGCCTCCTGAGACTATAAAGAACAAGTAAACAAAATAAGTAAAATAGTTACAAATTGTGGTAAGTGCTCTAGAGGAAACCTACAGGGTTGGTGATAGAATGATGTGAGGACAAGAGGGAATGGGGGAAGCAAAGGGAAAGCTTTAAATAAGTAGGTCCAGGAAGACATCTTTGAGATGTCAGCTCATCAGTGACCTGAAGGGTGAGAAATGAGAATATTTTGAAAAGCCTTGTGGGTTTCAGCAGGGGGTGATTTGGTTTTAGGAAGGTAATTATTGCTACTGAATGATGATGGGGTTGGGGAGAGGATTCAGAGTGGATGTAGAGATCAGGCATGAGTTTACTGCAGTAATCCAGGTGCAGAATAGTAGTGGCTTAGACTAGAGTGGCAGTGGAGAGAAGTAAATGGATTTAAGACAAATGTAGGAGAGAGAATTGATAGGCCTTGGTGGATATGAAGGAAAGAACACATTTAGGAGTTGGAGCTTAGAGGTGTGGGTTAGAGATTTAAGTCTGAGAGACATTAATGCCAATTAAAAAAAAGAACACTTTGGAGATTTATTTACTTAACAAATAAGAGTGCTTACCATGTGCTAGGCACTAATATATAGGTAAACAAAACAGAGACATCCCTGCCCTCCTGGAACTTACTTTATAGTGGGGGAGATAGACTATAAACAGATAAATTTGTAAAATATGTAGTATATTATTACAGGTGCTAAGGAGCACAAGTAAATCGCGAAGGAAGGTATGGAATACAGGGGGACAGGAGTTGAACTTGTAGATAGGAAGACCAGAGAAGACCTCACTGAGATGATGTTGAGTGAAAACCTGAAAGAAGTGTGGGAGCGAGCCATGCACTATCTGGAGGGCACCTGACGTACAGAGCTCTGAGGCGAGGGGTGGCCTTCCTATTCTAGGAACTGCAGGGGGGCCTTGCTGATGGAGTGGGGCAGGGGTGGTCGGTGAGTGAGAGAGAAAGGAGGTCAGAGCGGACAGCATAGGGAAGGGCTGTGCAGAGCATACATGGCCATGGAGGTCTTTATAAGACTTTGGCTTTTGTTCTGAGTAAAATGGGAAGGCACTGGATGTTTTCTGAGCAGAGGAGGGACAGGATCTTATTTTTAACAGAATTGATCACTCAGACACTGATGTGTTGAGTTTAGAGTGGATAAGATCATATAGAAGGAAAATGAGCAGTGGAAGAGAAAATGGACAGAGGTGGGAGAACCAGGAGAGCGTGGTGTCATGAAAGCAGGAGAGGAGTGTTTCAAGGAGGAGGGAACACTGCCAAAGCCTCTAGTAGATGAGGATAAAGGCATGCTTTGCGTTTGGCAATACTGAAGTTACAGATGATTTTGGCAAGCCATCTCAGGGGTGTGTTGAGGCAGAAGTTGGAGTGTGGTAAGCTGGAGGGGAAGTGAGTAAATGGGATGTGAAGAATTGAAGACTGTGTTCACAACCCTTTCTTCTTGAAACAGAAATAGGGTAGAAGCTGGGACTGTGGAATCAAGTGAGATTTCCTTTGGAAGATACTAGAACATGTTTGTAAATGATTGGGAATGAGCCAATAGGGAAAAAGGATTATGTTGATGATACTAATAATAGTTAACATTTACTGAACACTTACTGTGTGTCAGATGCTGTGCTGGAATGTGGATTAAGATAATCTTAGGATGGATGTGTTGATATTACCATTTCATATAAGGAAACTGGGAGTTAGAGAAATTACTAGCCCAAGGTCACATAGTTACTGTGTAGTAGAGCCAGGAGGTGAACCCAGGACATTTGAACTGCATGCACTCAACCACTAAGTTATACTGCCTACATTGATGATGGCAGGAAAAGAGAGACAGGTGACCTTCTCAGGCTTAGTCCTTGAGAAGAGGGCATATGAACGGGAAGGCAGGGGAGGACTGGCCTTTGGCAGGGGTGGGTTCCTTCCTCCTTAGACGGGAAAGGGAAGGCATGTGCAGATGGCTGTAGTTGGGCTGCAGATGTTTTAGTGGGAAGAAGAGAATGTTCTGTCTTAGGGCGTCTTTTTTTCTTTTTTTAAAATAAAGTAGAAGGTTAACTCATTAGCTGGAGAATATAGTGTAAAGAGTAGAACTTGCTAGGGGAAGAGGTTGAGGGGACAGAAGACAGTTGAAGTCATTATCTTGCAGTGGGGAAGAGAACATGGATTGTGAGGCAGTTTTCCATGCCTGTTTGAGATTTGTGATCATGAATTTTAAACGAAGCCAGTCACAGTTGCATGATTTTTCTGCAGTAAGATTTTAGCTGCTTGAACACAGGCAGAGGTAAGTAGTAGGGTTCAGCTGGTGCTGAGACTTTGCCAAGATAGAATAAAGGGCGGGGGGAAAGGCTTGAGGGAGATAAGGGCGTTTTCAAGAAAAAAAAAATGACCGCATTAATGAACTGGGGAAACTGGGCTGGATGAAGAGCAGAGTGAAGCCAGAACAAATGGTGAGAAAGTCGCGTAGATCAGCGGAGCTCAGTTAAATCAGGGATTTGTAGCAGTGGAGATATCTGAGCAAATAAGAAAAGGAGGAGGTGATCAGAGTGGGTTCTCAGAGGTGGGCCAGTCTCTGAATGTCGTGGCTCAGGGTGTGGCCACGGAGTGGGGGCTAAAGTGGCTGGAAGAGAGGAGATGATCAGGAATGAAGATGCCCAGAAATTCCACATTTAATCTTGATTTTCTTTCAGAGAGGCCATGACTTTCATGAAGGTGTTAGGGCAGGTAAGTGACAGTTGTTTCCTTCCGGGCTATTATGGAAATAGGATTTTTGAGCAGATACTGTTAAAAAAAAAAAAAAGATGATGGTTGTTTGATTAGTGAAAATCAAACTTTTATAAAAATTGCAAAGTTTTTTTTTTTTTAATATTACCAACTGGCATATGAGGTAAACCCAGTATTGTTTAAAAAATTCCAATAATGTGGTCACCGCTCCCTAATGTATATATAATGTATATATAAGAGGAAATATAGAGGTATATAAGAGGTAATCCTGCTCCTACAGTCACATGGACTCCCTCTGCTAAGTGCAGCCTGAGTTTGTAAATTCATTCTGCTGCTGAAGCCTTTGCAAGGTACGTTTATTCTCCTGCAGAAAGGCCTGAAGTCCCCTCTAAAATCCCAGCTGTGTTGGACCCTACCATCCACCTCTTTGCCTGAGCCTAGCAGTTAAACATTGACATTGAGAAAAAAACATGGCATAATTAGTAACATCTGCTACTATTATTAATTTCTATTTTTGCTTATCATCTTCAAAGTAAGAATATTAAGAAAAAGCAAGTGAAGTAGTTGATTTTTTTGTTCCTAGCGAATCTGCAACCATTTCTTTTTATGTATAAGTCCGTATGCCTATAAATAGTAGCTGTCATTTATGTTGTATGAGTTCTTTCACTCTGCTTGTATTTTACATATCTAATTTTCTTATGTTTTTATTTATCACTTTAATATAGTACAGACTCTAGATATACTTTATCTGAATAAAAGGTTATGCTCTCTGAGCTGTAAGCTTCAATAAACACTGGTCACTGTGGTAGAATTCTCTTCATTTCTGGCATGATATAGTATAAGAAGGAAACGAATCCTTTTAGAGGACACGTGGAGTTGAGTCAGAGGAAATGGCTATGTTTTATAGAAAACATGCATTCATCCTACTAATTCCCTGCAAATTCTTGCTGCATGTGGATCAGAGCTTAGACCTCTGATTTTAGGAGGACCTGTGTGCTACTTGGATTATGTTGCTAAAGTATTCATTCATTATATGTTATAGCAGCCCTTCTTAAACTTAGAAAAGAAAGGTATTGTTTTTTAGATATACTGTCAATTATTTTAAGGAAAAAGAGCTGAAACCAAGCAGCATCAAAGTTCTGATTCATAGCCCAGGTGCTTATCAAGCTACTTTTTAATGAAGAGAAAGTATGTAACGTCATCTTTCAGCATAACCTCTTTATTCAGAAAGCAGTATCTATTCTGGGTCAAACTGTTAAGATGTTCTTACATAACCAAATGTTGGCTACAATTTACTAATTATAAAGTATGTAACCAAATTAGATAAACTATCAAAATAGGGGAATGGCTATAAAAAATTCTTACTTTTAACATCTAGAATAAACTTCTTTCTTTAGAAGAATTTACAGAAAAAAAAGTTTTAAAGGATTATCTCAGAAGAGCTAGAGAGCTGCCAACTGGAATTTGAGTGGGTGCCTCATGAAACCTGAAAAACCTGAGTTGTCTACATGGAAAGAACTTGTTTTATCTATGCTAGAATAAAAATTTTGTTAGTTTGAAATTAAATAACATGCAAATTTGATTAATATTCTCTTTCCATTTGACCTTCAGTGGACTGTCAAGGAGGTAGATAGCATTGACCTAGAGGGCTTTTAGGGAAGAGATTCTTGTAGAAAGAATGCTCCAGGATTGTTTTTATTTACTCTGTCCAGGGAATGTAAAACTTTCAAACTGGCAGGGATCATAACATCAGTGTTCAGTATCACCACTGATCTGACACTGGAATCCTATAGTTAGGCAGCCAAACCTTGAAAACCTCCAGTATCCACATTTAATTATGCATAAAGCCCCCTTCCCTCTACCTTCTGAGGCAGCCTACTGCCTTTGGTTCCCAGATTGCTTCTTTAACTATTTCGCGTTTTAGTGATTAACTCATTTTTTAAGGTTCACTGTAGGCTTTGTATGTTTAAATACTTTAATTCCCCACAAGAATTATGCACATTTTAAGCATGGCTGAAATTCCTTACCACAACCAGACTAGGTACAGCCCCATTCTCTTTCTTTTTTGTTTTTAATTTTTTGAGATAATTGTAGATTCAAATGCAGTGTAAAAAATAATATGGAGAGATCCTGCATACCCTCCACCCAGTTTCCCAAATGGTAACATCTGTATAACTGTAGTATACGAGCACAACCAGGAAACTGACATTCTCCTCCCTTTTTAAAGGAGGTTGTGCATTGATTGCCTCATACTTAAAATCCTGTGGGGATACTATGTGGCTACACCAAGTGATGACTACACTGAAATAAGAGAAGCAGAGCTTCTCATGATAACCTGAAGGTGTTCTGGTATTTTAATTCAGTGTGAGCTAGAAGATTCAGCAAAACAGTTGTATCCACATTTAATTATGTATAAAGTCCCTTTCCCTGTACCTCAAGTAAGTTTACTCTCAGTTCAATGTGGAGGAGGTTAGAAGACAGATCTGGGCCCTACCCCCTCTCCTGCCTTCCCTTTAAGCCACACCAACTCTGGTTTTACCTCTTTTATAAAGAGCTAAAGAGAGATTTCATTTATGATATTATTAGAAAAAGAAAAAAGAGTTCTAAGGCTTAAACCACTGGATTAGTTCAGCAGACTGTATTCAAGCTAGAGACATCAGGCTTAGCAGGTGAGGTCATCATCCAATTCTGTGAGGGCTTAATTTAAGGGGAAAAAGAAAAAGGAACACATACAAAAATTTCAACTTTGCAGAAAAAGATGTGCTATAGAAAAATATGCCTAGTCCAAGGTAGTTGTGTCAATTCAGTAATTAAAATCTGGTAATACCAAAGAGAATACTAACGTTTCTTATGTCTTTACTCGACAGTTTTAATAGATAAAGACCAGAGTCCGAAGTGGAAACCAGCTGATCTAAAAGAAGTTACTGATGAAGCTTTGAATAATCACTTCAAATCTCTGGGAAGTAATGATTTGAAATTTTGAAGAGACTGGATTTTTAAAGTATTATTTTGGAGCAGAGTTGGCAAACTATGGCACATGGGCCAAAGCCAACCTGCTGCCTTTTTTTTTTTTTTTCATATATCCCTCAGCTAAGAATGGTTTCTGCATTTTTAAATGGTTGGAGAAAGAAATCAAAGACCTGTATTGCATGGCATGTGAAAATTACATGAAATTCAAATATCATTGTCCATAAATAAAACTTTATGGGAACATGGCTTTACTCATCTGTTGACATATCTGTGGCTCCTTTGAGTAGTTGCAGTAGAGATTATAAGGCCTGCAAAGCCTAAAATATTTACTGTCTGGTCCTTTTCAGAAAAATTTTGCCAGCCCTATTTTAAAAGATGGGAAAATTTGAAGGTCTTAGATTCTTGAGTTAGTATATCTAATTGAAATGGGAACTTTATGTTTTGGCTTAGGGTATTGGTTTTTAATGTTGATTAAGTAAACTTTTGTATAGGTTATAAAAAATAAAAACTGAAATTTTTTTGGATACTGTGTTAACATTTCATAGAATTTTCTCCATATATAAATCTATTTTTAAATAATTATGAGTTTCTGTAGCTGAAGTGTTCCTTTTATAATGATAGAAATCTCAGACAAAGAGAAAAGGTTATTATGAGGTTGTCTTTCCAGTACTATTGACTCAGCCTTGGCTTTTTCTGAAGTTAACCAGAATCTCTTCCTATGGGGAAAGTAAAAGCATTATTTCTTGTTGTTTAGAGTATTTGCTAATCTGGCAGAATGAGGCATTAGAAAACTCTAATCTCTAAGATAGAGACACTCTGCCTTCTGCAGTTTACATCAGACTTTTGTGTGGTAACAGTAATTTGTTCTTACACAGTTCAAATCAGGAGAAAGGACTTGAAAACAAGAGGACTTCTGTTCAAAATAGAAATACCTTCAGTAATTGGTACTGTTGACAAAATAAGTTTTTTTTAAGGTACACAACTGTGGATGTTCCAGACTTGGAACATTAATGTCTAGGTAAGAGTTATTTTTAAATTAAAGATCAACTTATGATTTACTTTATAGCTTGGTACAATTTTTCCTTCATTCCAAACCCCTCAGAAACTAAGAGAACTTTAGTTTTGTGCAAGAATGAAAAGCAGGCAGAACCGGAAAAGACATCAAAGATTATATCCTGCACCCTGAGGAAATTGCCGTCCAGAAGGAATTGCTTTAAATTTTCTGTTCTCAGTATACTTAACATGAAGCATTTTTCTTCCCCCCAAAATTAGGAACGTATTTGGAAAAAAGATGCCATGATAATGAACATGTTTACATTTATATTCTTAATGCTTCTAAATGTGGATGTGAATGATCTAAGAAAATACTTGTGTAAATGGTCTTTTATTTTCTTTGTATTTGCTAGGAATGCAGAAAACATTAAGTCCTTTTTGTTAAAAAATTTGAAATCACACAATGGTGAAAAGCATTTGCTTGCTTCAATTAAATAAGGACTCATAACTAGTTAATTGCAACTAGACTTTTATTGAACAGTTAGGAAAAATGTTTTCACAAAAATATTTGGGAAAAAATATACCATTTCATAGCTAAGTCTTACAGTGAAGAGAATTTGCTAACAAAAGTTGAGTTTTGCCAAGTAAGATGTAGGGAATACATCTGAGCCTGTGCCCACTGCTCCAAGGAAGACATGTCCAGTTTGGTCACACAAATACAGGATGGGGGCATTATGATTAAGCAAACAATTTATTTGTTAGAACTCTGTTTTTAAATTACTGTTCCTTGACATTATTTACAATTTGTCTCTAACTTTTGATTTCTCAAACTATATAATTACAAAAGTATAGTTCCCCCATCTCACATACAATGCCAGTGATACTGAGTAGGATATATGAGTGTCACCTACTTCATTCGTTCAACATGTCTCTTTTTAATACTTATAAGGCAGTTTGACACAAATGATTCCTTTGGGACTAAGATAATTTTTATCCCCTTCAAAATTGTGCTTTAAGTGCTAATAACCATAGGTAGTTTGCAAAGAACTGATAAGGCAATGGAAAGTGGAGAACTGTCAGGTCAAAGGCCTGTGACTGAAAGGTAATAACTAGCACTCAAAAGACACTGAACTGGGAAGGGAGCAGTGAAGCACACGTGTGGGTTATGTGAGTTTTCTTAAATGAGGAATCGGCACATTTCTCTCTGCTAATCTGCTGCTTCCAGAGTTGCCCCCTGCAGGTTCTTTGTCATGCTGGTGGCACTCATCTGCCCCTCTACTGTATGTTCTTGAGGGAGAAGTTTCAGTGATGGGGCACATGTGAGTGTGGTAAAGAACGGAACGGAACTTGGCTGCTGTGTCCTTCCCCTCAGATGAAAACACTGGAAACTTGGTTTTGGAGCCTGATGTGAGTGTTGTTTCTTGGGCCCTCTTTTCCCCATTTTCTTTTCCCTTATAATTTGGCCACTATTCTTATTTCTTCTGTGTTTGTGATCTAAGTTGGAACAAATGTTTCCCATTCCAGTAGCTAATAATTCTTTCAGTCTTCTGGTCTCCTTCCTTCCCAAGCAGCCCTTCTACTCTCTGTTCATGAAAGACCTTCAAAATGAAGTAAATCCACTATTTAAAGATGAAGGTATGTAAGAAGTTGAATTATCGTATCAAAGATGTTCTCATTTATCTTGTCATCTAGGCCAAACTATATCTTGATAACAATCATACGCAGTATATTTGTTGATCCAGCTCTTTCCTGCCTGCCCCCAACTTGGTTTATCCACTAACTCACTGATCATGCAAGCCTTTGTAGTTCCGTGTCCATGGTTTGACATATTATACAGCATACATCTCCGTAAGTCTCTGTATGTCACAAGATACTATACTGTTAAAATGAGTCAGGGACAAGGGGGTGGTGCTCAGTGACAAAATCCTCTTGCCATAGTATCAGAGAGGGTGGCAACAGAGATTAGACTTCCAGCTAGATACGGGTCTGGCAGGCCTGCCTGTATTACACCCCTAGGAAATAGAGGCCCAGGGCAAAGGAGGAACCTGAGATCAAACTATTTAGATATAATCAAAGCCTACTAGTCTATGTCCCTATGTATGCTGAAGAATTTAGTGTGATGCGCTGCTTTTATATGGCTTTGTGTTCTCACCATAATATGTATTATCTTATATACTTACTTATATCTTTTAAACAGCAGTGACCTTGTGCAAAGTATCTGATGTAAAATATAAAATGAATGAAAAACGGCAACATCTAGGCTTTTGTCTGAGTCATTAGTATAAGCACTCATAAACCTAAATTTTTCTTCATGAGCTGGAAATATGTTTTGCACTTTTTGGAAACTTTCTGTTCTTAGCCTTGTAATTTCAGATCCTTGTATAAACAGGGGTGGTGGTTTTTCTATTTTGTAAAGTTGCTAGATTATAAGTACAACAGGACAGTACAAACCCTGGGATTAGGTGAAAGTTAAATGACCAGTTGTCCAAAGGCAACTGAAAAATGGCACACCACTCACTTCAAAAGAATTTTCTTTGCCAATTTACCTTGGAGAATTCAGTCTATTTGATTGTGGCTTTCAGAGTATAACTGCTAAAATCAGAGGTAGCAATTCTGCGTGCTTATAAGGTCATACACATTTATGTCATTAGAGGTCACAAGCCTTTTTCTGCCTTTCTTTAGATTTCAATGACAAGGGTCTGTTGTATCTTAATAAAAGGATCTAATTGCACAGGCTTAAATAATTCCTATTCCAGTTAAACTCAATGTGTGGCAAATCTTGATGAAAAGATACTTCTAAAGACTGTCTCAATTTTCTTGCAAGTTACATCTTCTAGTATCTTCTTCCCCCTTCCCTGAATTTTCTGTTACCATTGATCTTAAACAGTACTTAATTAAAAAAAAAAAAAGGCTTCCTAAAAAAGTAGCCAAATTTATGAAAATAGTATAGTATATGGCTATAAATGCCCCATGGGCTTTGTTACCATTAAAAATATACATGAGTATTCCCTTTGGAAGAGTATTTGATCTTTTGTAATAACTGTAAATTCTCATGCATACTCTGGTCCCACAGTAATCTGAATGGTGATGGCCCATGTACCAGCTCCTTGCATCTGTGAGACAGTAAAGCTTAACATACACGCAGCACTGAGACCAGGTTCTTCTTTCCACCTTGCCAACTAGGGCTTCTGTTACTTTACAGTTTTCTGGATTGCTGTTTATAAAAGCTCCCCTGCTTGTTTTCTTGTATAGTAATATCACTGGGCTACCTAATTCAATGCAATAAACATTGTCATGACTTCTGTAAATTGTATATTGTTAAGATGCTTATATGCAAAGCCTGAGTCATCCAGTAACAGGTGTGATTAGTTAGGGCCCTGAGGTTCAAGGTGATAGTTATGCTTTTCATCTATAAAAGTAAATATCTTATTAAGGACATGGTTCACGGTGGACCTCTTCCACATGGGTTGCTTTCTAATGCTTGGTCATTTGTGTTAAGAACGGGAGGGATCCTTGACTCAAAAGATTTTGGCAAACAAGACCCACTGTTAACAGCTATGGCTTGAGTGCCCAGGCAATTCCCTTGCCCAGGCATTTCAAGAAAATCCTTTTCATATCTTGTTTTTTTTTTTGTATAAATTGACAAATATTTTAAAAGAATGTCTTTAAAATGACCATTTTGAAAACACAGGTTTTAAATAAATTTAAATTCTTAAAGAATTTTTTTTTTAATTTTAAAGAATTTTAAAAATTCTTATTTCTTTGGTGATGGCATTGTTGCCTCTGGAAGTGGTGTGACACAGCTGATTACTGTGGCACCAGAGGAGTTACATTTAACCCTTTAATGACTAAAATCCAAGACCAAGCAGATAGAAATTGCTGTTAATGTAGAAATGCTTAAAACACTTCATTTTAGGTATTCTTAGACTCTTGATGGCTATCGAAATATTTTTCTTTACACCCAGATGGAGTTATTTGTATTTATTCACACCAGTTTTTGCTGTTGTTTCATGTATTTAAACTAGCACCAACTTTATCCACAGTTTGAGAAAGTGTCATCATCCTACACACAGTGTCAAGGCCCCTCACTCTCAATATATGGGATGTCATAGTACTTGAGGTGGTTGCCAGCCCACTGCTGCAAGGCATCACTCAGGATTTCCTGGGACAGGCGGTGTGCAAATTCAAAGACCACAATTTCAGGCCCTAGGGGTTCCTTCACTTCCTCTTTGACATTAACTAGAGAAGGCATCCTGAGTAGAAATCTCTCTTCAGGCATAAAATTTTCTTCACTCTCATGCCTCTTCTCACTCTCGAGTGTGGTGGGAAATGGGAAAGTTTGCTTTGATTTCATGCAGCCCATGTTATGAAGAGCTTTGACTGAGTGAAGGAAAGCAGTAGCAAAGACTACTTCAACAGCATCTTTGGAAAACACCAAGCATTTGTCCACTTGATATTGAGCAGTGCTTTTCCTCTCCAGGCTACTTCAGAAATCAATGTTCCCTTTCACCAATCTTCACATATAGTGTTT